CTATTACTGTAATTAAATAAAGTAAACAGAATTGTTTTACTTTAAATTGATCCTCGAAATTTATAATTAATATTAATTATTATTCGTATACTTTTGTGTGGTCCCGATACACATATCGTATCGTATCTTTGTGTAATTTACTCGTAATGAGACTTTGAGTATAATTAACTAATTATTAATTGCTCGCAGTAAACAATAAAGTTAATTTACGATAAGATAACCAAATTATTTTTGGAAACTACAAATTCAGTAGATTCTAGAAATGTTAAATTGGTTACACTCATGAAGTCTGGGAGCGACCTTAATTAATAGTGTATTTTTTGCGAATTATATTTACTACACATGAAATTATAAATTAATTTTATTACATTGTTTACATTTGTCAAATTTTCAATTGAAAATATCAAAATTACCGTTACCATAATAACCTTGCTTCCTTAATGTTGGTAGCTTGTAGTTTACTCGTATGGTTTCTATCCCACGTGAAGATTGTTTTTCCAATTAATTTACCCCCTACGTTTAAAAGCGTAAAAATATATAGCCTGAAGGGTGTCGTAAGTGTAGAGATTTTTATTAAAGAAATAATTATTCAAAAACATGCTGTGATATGCTGTTATTGCTGACACCCTACGGTACAAAGTAGTGTGTGTTTACGCTTTATTGTGTTAGTATAGTATAGAAGTATATATAGATTAGCGCTAATGTACTTGAAAAAAGAGTATAAATGTCATAAAAGGTAGTGTGTATGTTAAATAATAACTTATATGGTGATATCTTTTTGTGTCACGTCCAACCTTGAGGCGGGTGTCCAGTAGCGCGTCACAAAGTGTCTTCCAGATGATCGCGCAAGCTTCTTTGTAGCCTATTTAAGTGTGGATCCTATAGAAAGCTCACCTTGAGCTTATAAGTATGTGAAAGTAGAGAGTTTTTTTAATCTATTTTTATACACGTACTAGGTAAAATAAGCAGCCAACATTTACCGTGAAATACATTAAAAAGGTTAAAAAATATTTTTTTTAGATTATTATAAAAATAAATAAATGCGTCGTTGGTATTTCAATTCACGTGTCAGAAAATGAGGATTAAATTAACAACAATGATTTTCATCGTAAATATTGCTGTTTTTTTCTTTCATGAAAACTGCCCTGAATAGTTCACATACAATGATATTCACACAACAAAATACATTAGTCCAGTATTCTCAGTCTTCGCTTGCTTTGATTTTATTCTCTCTACATTGTATTAGGGAATTTAATATAAAATACCTCGATCGACATTTGACGCTGTTGCCTACAGGGTTCAGATAAAATATAGGAGCAAGCTCTCATGTCGATTATCGTAGTAGACGTATTAAATAGCACTATCTGGATGGGTTAGGAATTTGCAAATATCGTATTACTGGTACCTTTTTGATGCGCTAAAGTCCGCTACAAACGTTCAGTTCTGACAGTAAAAATATTGCCTACACATGGACATTTTTAACGGAATAGTTTAACTATTAAAGTTGTTAGAACTGGACGAGTGTTGTGGGTTTAAGATGTATGTATGTACTTATATATTCATAGCAAATTTCATAGTATGTTGAAGTAAAAGACAACTTACGTTACTTTAGACAAAGTTATGTTTTTGTCAAGATTATAGTGTTTTTGGCTGGCTTTGTCATTCTTCGTGGTATAGTCCTATTATAGTTATAATAAGTAAATAACACATGTGCCATACTTGCAAAACTTATTGCTCATAATTACATAATTTTACTTCTTACTAATATTATAAATGCAAAAGTTTAGATGGATGGATGAACGGATCTCTATGAAATTCGGCACAGATGTAGAGCATAATCTGAAGTACAGGTGGGATAAGGTTCATTCTCGAAAGATGTTAGGTTCCCAAGGGACACGTGGTTTTTTGTTATTTACATAATTCGCCTGTTTTCTAATACCACTACACCAAAGTTCGAACTTTGACCAGAGTTTTAAATTGCATATGATATTGGTAGTTAGCTTGTAACAATCATGTATCATGTTTATATATTTACATATTATGCACTTCATCGTAAAAAGATTCGAGTTTTAAATAAATCGTCAATAAACAAGGTTATTATGTAGTTTGTTATTTTAGTATCGTAAGTGTTTCTGTTTTACGCAGTTTGTTGTGAATGTAAACGAATTCTTAATCACGTTGCTGACGTTTTTGTCACATTGGAATTTGTAATTTATTTCTTATTATCAATACAAGTTCCTACACTCACATAAAGGTATCTAATCACGTTGCGTTCAAATTAACCACCTGCGCGCGTTCGCTTCCTGCTCAACTACATACCCGCCATATGGAGTGGTATGTACTTACTGACAGTATGACGACTCTAACGGTTGACATCGTTTTAAAAATACATTTATTTTACTCGAAAAATTGAAACTTGTTGGTACTGTTGAACAACATTTTTTTAAACCATGTCCAAAGTAATTTAACCTCATAAAAGATTTTGTACATTGGTTGATTTCGAACAAAAATGTTATAGCTTTTCTCAGTTACCGTAACATGGACATAACTGAAATAGTTTTACTTGATTGTAACTAGTAATAAAGTATGACGCAGCGAAATACAGTGGCAAGAGTTATTACAATAACTATGTGAAACTTATTAGACAAGTTAAATTGATGAACTTCTGAGCGAAAGTAGCGAAGCGTAGTTTGAAGTTTCAAAGCGAATAGCGAAAAGGTCTGCCAGAGAATTGCGAGCGGTAAATTTAATTAACAACAATTGTAATTAAATTCAATAGAATCAAATAAGCCGTTAATGTATGTTTTATATATATTATATGTTTGTCTTATATATCTATTAAATACCCTTGTGTGTTTGTCTTGCTTCTCCAGTCTCACTGGGTTGCATGGAAGAAATCGCTCCTAGCGATAAGGCCGCCCTTGCGCAAATCTAATATTACTTAATTTAAGCTTTGTTGTACGATATGTGCATAAGTGTTAAATAAATAAGTATAAAGAATTGTTACACAAGTAATAATTGAGACTACACGGTTAATAGAATATTTTGTCGTTGACAAATTTTGTTTGAAGTAAATTTATTTTTCAATCATCAACAAATGATACTGAGAATAAATCTTTTGAAGTTTACGGGTACTTGTGCAGCCAGTAGCGGTTTGTATTCATTAAATAAAAATGTAGATGACTCACCATCGTTGGTTTGACAAGGCAAAGCGAGATTCAAGATGCTTAAATACAAATATTCCGTTATACCAGATTCCACTCGAGACATTATGCATTTTGAGTCAATCGAATGACTAAAATGCATGATATTTTATATTCCTTTCTCGAAATTATTATTTTGAGATAGAAATTACCAAATGTAAACAGTAATCTGTGCTTACAAGAGTATGTAAATGAATATTTTATGTTTAATTTTTACTAACCCATGAGCCTATTTTAAAAAGTTTTAAACAATTGAAAGCTCTTCATAAGAAAAAACTTAGTATACGAAAGACTAAACACTTATAAGAAAATAACTAACTGTACGTTTTTTTAACGAAATAAGCAGATAAACGAAGGTTAAATTAGCAAGCTTACCATGCCTTTCGAGGAATGTGATCTGACAGCGTGTGGAGGGCAAGGGGAGGGACACACCGGTAAGTATTAAATTCCACTCAGACCTTTGATTAAAATAGCTTTCTGAAAGTCAAGTGGGTCGCCAGGAGCCGCATCATTTGTCTTCTGCTGACAACGGCGTTATGTTTATTTGCTTATTTTTCCAGACGTTATTTAGTTTTTTGTAGTGCGCATGTGGTACAAACTTGACATAAAAGAATCATATGGAACCGCTTGACTTGTTTAAAACATTGCCTCCTAAACAGTGAAAATGTATGAGCACTAAGCAGTCGCGTTACAGTCGCGTTATTATTGTAGAATCAATTAAAATATCACAAAAACATTTCTAATTGAAATATGTTTTTTCTAGTCGATTGAATACGAGTTATGACGTAATGTAACTTAAACTTGGTTACCTTGGACTAAAGTTTAGTTTTTTGATCCAAAAACACATTTTGTTACACATTCGATACACATTTAAGATGCAGTAGGTACTTGTTAGGCGTAGTTTTTACCTTTGTAACATTCCATCTTATTTAGTTGGTACATTTTACTAATCCGTACTCTGACCATACAATTTAGATATAAATAAAGATAATTGACTACTCTAAAATTATCTAAATCATCCGCAATTAAATTCTAAGCCATTACGAAGTAATTAGAGTAAAAATTTACACATTAAAAGTCCCTTTATATTTTAACCGTGAAAATATCGTGTGCTCTTTACAACGCAGCCACAACTGGATCTTAGACCAGACTAGTTTTTTCTAAATGTTATTGTAGACGAGTTTACAGGAAGCGCGCTGTTGCTGCGTCACTGGAACAGCGCGGTCACCTTGAAACTGAACTGCATTCTGTGCAGTGTGAAGTCAAGAACACGACCTTACAAGCTTTAGATGCCACGCCACTGGACGACATATACAAAGAACATAGACCTTGGTATACATTGTATGTGAAAAATAAAAAAGCTGTTTGAAAGTAGGAAATTTACAAATATTTTAGCACTTGGTGAAGTTAACTAATTCTTTAAAGTCATTTTTATAATTAACTTATAAAATATGTATTAATAAATGAAAAGCAATAAACATAAAAACATTAATTGTTAGAAAATCCACGTGAATAAAAAGACGTAACATGGAAAATAATTTTAACAATCGTATAAAAACTTCATGTGTGACGAATCAAAATAAAACATTTAAAACTTAATTTCCACTTGTAAGCTTCTAACTTTGTTGATAAATGACGGTATTATCGTTTGACGAGATAATTTTCGTGCTTTAATTAATCACTACACAAAACAGAGGTCTTGAGTTAAAAATAATATTTAAAAACAAAAACATTGTTACAAGACAATTAGTAAGCTATTATGTCTATAGTATATATATAAAATAAATAAAATATTACCTCGCTCCCAATATCGGAGGCTGCGGAAGACAACGAATTTCAATGCACACAACCGATAAACGCCGGCGAACCCCGCGCACTGACAAAAGCCGCCGCAAGCCACCAGAGGGCACACGCATCGTGAAAGCTCCTGCATCCATCGATCCACCCTTACACCACCTTCAATATAAATTCACCTTTATTTCTAAGTGTCTACGGTTTATATTAGCTTATATCTTATTTCGGAGTCTGAAGAATCTTCCGACGGAAATCTCTGACGTAAATTGCGTAGCTTAGTAATGTTAAAGCTTTTAAACAGACGCATAAATCCAATTATGTTTCGTAACTTACAAAATATAACCAGTCAATCTTTGTTACTTCGATTTACGACATAAAAAAGCTTACTAACGCCTGTTATGGTAAGAATTAGTAGACACTTCTCGTCTAATTATTTAACATATTAATTTTTATGTCGAGTTGAACCATTATTTTTTGATGGAGTTGTTTATGGGAAAGTACAAAGTGCAAAATAACATGAGTATTGGGACATTTGAACACTTTTTTAATAGTCCTAATTGTAGTGCCTTACCTAGAATGTAAAAAAGTAGTTTTGACATAGAAACTTTATCTTTTTTTGTTGGTTTTCTTGCATTGCAAAAAGTTCCATAGACTAAAACATATTAATTAAGAAAAACAATATTTCAAAACAAACAATATATTTTTATTTTGTATAAGAAATGTTTAGATCACATTATACACTTCTCAAGGTTATATCATTAATTGACAATGTCAATTTTAGTTAAAAAGTCATATAAGTGATATGTTTTATCATAAAAATATAATTTGAAAAAATCATATAAAAAAAACTGAAATTAATTATACAAAAACGTAATACATTTAACGTTACTGTACAATAATAAATAGGAATATCATGTTAACGTATAATAATTTAAAAAATCTGTTGAGATAATTCAATTAAACTGCCAAGAAACGTGACAAAGGAAAAAAAATATATGCATGTAACTTATTATAGTGTGTAAAAATGTGTGTCGTAAGTTTGTCCTGTTGGTTTATCTCAATAAATAAACAAAAATAAAATAAAAAAACATGAAATTATTAATTAATCCCAGACGGAATTATACCGTACAGTTTGATAAAATTCTCAAGGGCGATGTTAAGAGGGAGAGAGGTGCTTCAGGATAGATTCAAATGGAAGTCCGTGCTCTCTGTCTACCCTTCTGGGTTACGGGTTGTTGAGTAATTAAGCATTAGTTATCTCATAAATCTAGACAGGTAAAAAACTAAGGAAGATGCTTACTTCGGCTTAGGATACAATTTTTTTTATTTGTTGGGTTAAAAACCCAAAATAACCTATAAGATAAAATTATCATTGGAATATGTACACATAACATCACAATAATTGTAATTAACTCGCTAAATACTGTGTTATTGGTATGTCTGTGTGTTTCGACTGCAATAAAACTTGTATTGAAACTTTTATCTCCTTTTTCAATAAAAAAAGAGTGGGCCAATGTTTTCATACAAGTATATTAACAGTGAAAACACAGTACCTAATTGCATTTATCTACATAAAACTGTAAGCTTCTTAAGATATACGAATACAAAAATAATACATTTATACAACAAACTGTATATTTAAAAAAATAATATGTACTCAGATTAAAATCATTATATATTGCTTTTATTTATTAAAAAATGTTTTTTTTATAGTTTGGAACCGTTTTTCCAATTAATTGCCATTAACTTTTCTACATAAGTTGTTTTAATTAACAATGATTCATCGAAACATAAGCAAAGCTTGTATAGTTCAAAAATTATATTTTATTTTCCAAGTTCACTATGCACAAATATACAGTAGAAACTCGATAAGTTAAAGTCTAAGGGAACAAAAAATACATTAAGTTATAGAGGTTTTAAGTTATCAAGGGTCTATGTTGTAGAGGTTTTGGGCTCTGAAGGGAACATATTATTTTTGACCGACTTCCCAAAAGAAGGAGGTACTCAGTTCGTCTGTATGTTTTTTTTATTTTTTATAGTGGACCGATTTTTTTGAAGTTTTAGAGGTTTTTATGTTACCGAGGTTCCAATGTATTTGTATAGATTACACAAATAGACAAGCATTTTGATGTAATGCAGTAAAAAGACAACCTATACATACAATAAATTACGAAAAATTAAAAAAAACATACAAAAACGACCCAAAAAAATTATCAAATCGTACATAAAATAATCTTGTCACATATTTAATGGTTTTTTCAGAATATTTTAAATAAACAAGGTTTCGATTTAGTTGATTTAATTCATTTCCTAGATACCTATTTCAACAAATTTTAGATTAAGACTAGATTAACTACGTGCATTTTTAGCACCAGTTTCAATTTTAAACCCTCGAAAAACACAGCTTTATATGATCGTGGCAATTCAATTTTACTAACACGAGTACCCAAAAGGCTACAAAAATATTCAATAATCAATACATTTTAAAATTATATTTGTACATATAGGTGTAACATTACAAGCTTAATGTTAAAAAATTATCACACGTAAAATAACTGAAACAGCATTTAGAGACATGTTCTTTCTCTGTTGCTCTTAAGCATTCAATCGTTTGTCTCGCTCACTCCGCGTACGTTCAACAACTACACTTTCATATAGGTTGTCAAATTCTATACCAAAAAAAATGATTTCTTTGTAATATATTAAATTGCTTTTTATTGTTATCATTTCATATTATAATTATAAAAGTAAATCTTAACCAGTGAAATATTTAATACCTGACTAGCTTCACTTGCGTAGTTTATATTAAAAAAACTTATTTAATATTGAAAAAGGCGTGCATCATAAAATATTGTACTTTTCATAACACATTCAGTGCTATAGTGGTATGTGACAACAAAAAAAAAAATAAAAGAATTTTTTTTTGGAAATCCGTTAAAAAAATACTTTATTTTTCGTACTGTGCGTTGAGAAATTAATTCTGGATATTTTCGCAATATAACAAGGTTTTTTATGGTATATCCTAGTCAGGCTTTTAAACTACGTTCTATCTGATAAGAATACTGAATAACGGTGCGTCAGAAACTACTTAGAGTGCGATATATTTGTATTTCGAAAAAACTTTGAGATATTTTATAAGGGAAGTTTTATTATCTGTAATACGCTAGTAAGTTAAATGCTTTATCACAGACTTCTATCGTTTTCTTTTATTTTTAAATTTTGAAATAGCTGTCATTTAATGTAGTAAAATTTTCTTTTGTAACAATTTCATTGACGTTTTCTAAAAAAAAAATTTCAAATGACTGGCCGTTTTACATTTCATATGAGTTAAGAATACATCCATATATCAACATTCAAAGTTTTGGCCCCATATGAAAAAGAATTTACTAATATTTAGAAATATCAACATAATTTATGAATAAAAAGTTTAGTTAATTTAAAATTTATCCAATTCGTTTTACTATCAATTTGAAAATTAGTTTATAAATATATTTAAGACCTTAATAAAATATGGAAGCTAAATCACTTCATTACTACTATTTATTACCCTATAAAACTATTAAAAAAAAACATTAGCCTCTTTGGCTGTTTTCAGCCAATAGCACCTTGCGTGCGGAAATCGCACAAAAATATTCCATTACCACTAGTTGCCAATAATATACGAATTTTTCTACACAACATATAATTCAATAATAAAACCAATTACTGTTTCGGGATATGTACATATTAGAAAGTTTGTACAAGTTTAAATTGGATTTATTCAAACTTGTTCAAACTAATTCACTTTAAAAGTAAAAAAAGTGCAAATGGCAACATTGACATCGTCTGACGTCACTGTTATATTTATAATTTTAGTTTCAAACGTCTCCACCAAAAACACTAACGGCAACTTCTGCTACTATACACGTCAAAATTACCTAATATACGAATAGCACACAATCATTTCAATAATGTTAATTTTAGGTTATAATATCCAAACGTCAAAATCTATTCAACAATATAGATTATAACAATATAATTTCTACAGATTTATACAGATTATATAAAGTCATAGATTAAAGGATATGTAAGACGAGCAGTGTAGTCATTATCATAAGTATGTGAGGTAGGCGCGTGACAGCAGCAGCAGCTGCCGCAGCAACTGGCGCAGCAGTGACAGCTGCCGCAGCAACTGGCGCAGCAGTGCCAGCTGCCGCAGCAACTGGCGTAGCAGCAGCAGGCGCAGGCGAGGCGCACGCGCTGCGCTAGCCGAGCGCTATAAGTCGGTCTCGGACCACTGCTAGTCACCTCTACGCAACCGCCGCGCAGCTGCGGTGTTGTCATGATATAACCACACCTGGAAAGTATCACATCATCTAAATTCTACACAAAAATATATCGATATTTGATCAAGACCCGTTGGCAGATCAGATTTTATATCTACATCTCGGTTGGTACTAAGAGCGCGCACACCTTTGATTATCGCATAACTGTTTAGTCGCAATTTGATTTGTATGGGCTTATATGGGGGCGCGTACACAACTCGATTTTTAGTTGTGCAACTAAACAGTTGAATGGGTTGCGAAAGAATAGACAATAGCATAAGAGTTGTGCGACAGTTTAGTTAAAGATGTGCTCTAACGTGAACTCCGTTATGAACGATAGAATGAGCGACACGCGACGAGTGTGTCGCTAGTGAGTGTAACACCATTATGTGTTATCAATGCCGAAGAAATCTTATTAATCTGGAATAACTATTTGTTTATAATGATTATTTCGCTACACGCAAGGGATTGCATCATCTTACATTGTAATGAATATTAGCAATATGACAACATAAACACGTAATAGGAACCATTAATACTTACTTGGAATAGAATAATAATATCTAAGGAGACCTGGAGGCCGCCGCACACCCAGAACTGCGTGGGCGCTTCGCGGATCACGAAGTATGCAGTCTTGAATACGTCACCACATGTCCACATTATCACCATACTTAAACTGGCAAATAATAAAAAAAAACTAGATGTAATTTAATGGTTCACTAATTTAGAATTAAACTTAGTGTAAAATATCAAGTAGTTTATAGTGAGTTAGTTCTTATCTATACTGATATTATAAAAAGGAAGGATTTGTATTTTTGTATTTATTCCGATAACTCAAAAACTACTAAACCAATTTCAAAAATTCTTTCACCGTTAGTAAGATAATTAAACTGTGAGTAACATAGGGTATATTTTTAAATTTCACGAAGACGAAATCGCGAGTCACAGCTAGACTTTACTAATATTATAAAGAGGAATGATTTGTATTTTTGTATATATTTTTGTATTGAAAGAACTCAAAAACTACTGAGCCAATTTCAAATTCTTACACCATTAAAAAGCTACGTATAGCCACTGTATATGTATACTTTTAATTCAACGCGGACGTAGTAATTTGTCAAAATCAAAATATGTATTTTACAAAAAAAAAAATTACCTCATTCCTTCTGTACTTTTATTCTGATGGTTCTTAGCAATCTGTGGCGCTCCGAGCATCGCCTCAGTGAACACAGCTAAGAAGCCAATAAGTTCTACAAACGGTGAGAACTCTATCAATAGATAGGTTATCGCCGCACCCAATACTGAGAACACGAGCATACAGTCCAAATAACTCTGGAAGTCGGTCCATGCCCAAAAATACTTTCTGTCCATGTCTGGAAAAAAAAAATCACTTGCTAAGTTCGAATTGCACAATTCATGACATCTAAAGAACTTTTATTAATATCAACATTATGGGAAAATATGGTATTGAAGGTTTTTATGTTTTGTCCTAATTCACATATAAAACATTTAAAATAAAGCACATATAACTTAACATAAGCTGTTGATTTGATGTGACTCATGATAACCCTTCACAAAACAATCATAACACAGTGTGGCAATTTTTTAATATCATATTTTTTAAGCCTAGCATAAACTTTTCAATATAATTTAAAATTTGAAAAAAACGTAAATGATATAACGTTTTTTTAATTTATTTATATACTAGTATAGTAAAGCGTAAACACAGACTACTTTGTGGCGTAGAATGTCAACAATCACAGCATATTTTTGAATAAAGCTTTCTTTAATAAAAAGCCCTACACTTACGACACACTTTAAGCTATATGTTTTCACGCTATTAAACTTAGGGGGTAAATAAATTGGAAAAACCTTGACATTGGAAAGGGACCATTAACTAGCTGCTAACATTAAGGAAGCAAGGTTATTATGGTAAGGGTATTTTAAACATTTGCAATAGAGAAATTAACAAACTTAGACAATAAAATAAAGTTTGTATAATTTCATGCGGGTGAAGCCGCACTGGTACAGGGAGTCAATTATAAAATTCTTAAAGTAACAAATCTGTATCCAATAGTAAGTATTATAATAGTAATACATAATACTTGCTATTTACTATATTTTATGAACCTTTAACCCAATATTACATGTGTTTAACCAACATATGCTTAATAAATAACATTAGTAGTAAGAAATCTTATATAATTAATGAATTGACATGATAAGATAACAGATGTACAATACATGACCTCAGCTCCAGGGATGAGATAAATAATATGTGTTTAACTCAATCATAATGGTCAAGATAACAAGGGCCAATGAACCATTTTAGTAACATAGAGAAAGATAACTGTACAAATCATCTATTTCCTTATTATAAAACTCAAATAAAATACTTAAAACAACTGAATTAGCTTATCTTTCTTTATATTACAAAGTAATACCTAATAACATGCTATCGTAAATTAAAAAAATAAACTATCTAATTATAAAATTATAACAGAAAAGAAACAAACCAGAAAACTAAAATATCAGAAGCAATGAAGTCCTAATTTTTTCATTGATATTAAAAATCTTCGCAAAATTATTTAGTAAATAGGCAAAAGCAAAAATAACATAAGTGATCATATAATTCATCAATCTTCACATAATTATATTGTAAAAACTATGTTGTCGGTGCAATATGGGAAGTATAGTAAAAAGGTTGTCTACAAGGTTACAAAATATAGCTTTTGCCCGCAAATCTATCATAACAGAACAATAAAGCCCAGTCAATTTCTAACTGTGAAAGAATTTTTCAAATGGGCGTAATCGTTTCGGAGACGATTAGCCAATGCAAACGATAAAATATTTCCTCTTTTTAAATGTTAGAATGTTTTAATGAAAAATGTCAGATGCATTCAATGACTTCAAAAACAAAAAAATCTGTAAAACCCAAAATGAAAAGCGGCAAACAATATCGCAGCAACATAAATATTGCAAGACAAAATAGCCCATATGTCTAGACTGTCACGAAATGACCAACGTCATCCAACGTTGACTCACCATAGAAGCGACGCGGCTTCTCCCTCCCTACGCTGCTGCGTTGGTCCAGCCAGCGCGCCGTATCGTCGGGCTGGGCTGATCCATTCACACAACACAATAGTATATATAACATGAATATTGCACCTAACGCCAACCAATTACACCGACCACCAAACAAAACATAAAATGTTAAAAATAAAAAATAAAATTAGTAACTAAATACATTGTCATACCAATTATAGCTCATATACTATACTAATATAAAAGTAATAAAAATTTAAAGAATGCACTACATAGTATTATAAGAAAGTTACAATTTTTAATATTAAGCAAGTATCCAATTTGTATATGATGCTACTGTATATGATGGTGGCAAATGTGATACAAACCTGTGAATATTCTCTCCCTTGCTCTTATGATTTGATTTTTTTTACGAACATTAACACATAGATGTATCATCACAAACATTGTTATGTTCATCACAATACTCTGAATTAATAATGGCAGTTCATATCTTTTGCCAAACCTGGAATGAACATACACATTGTTTTACTTTACGTAATTAAAGTAATATTATAAATGCAAAAGATTAGATGGATGTTTGTTAGTCTGTAACCTAAACTGCAAAATGGATCTAGATGGAATTTGGCATAAATGTAGTACATAGTTAGGAAGAACACATAGGCAACTAATTTTTGTTTTTATTTAATTCCACAATGATAGTCACAGTCAGAAGCTAGTATTATATAAACTAACATGTTATAGTTCTTATCATTTGTTTTTTAAAAAATGAAACTATTTATATGATACATAAACATCTATGTTTTCTTCTCCTGTAGATTCTTAGAAATTTAAGGTTTTATTAGGATTTAGGAATGCATTAAACTTGAGCCAAGAAGATGAAATATAAATTAAGATTTTATATTTATTTTAGATCTGCTTTCCCTATTTCTCTTTTATTACAATTTTGGGTTCTTGACATTATTTTATATTTGGCATTGCAATATATAAGAGTGTTACAATACTAGTTACAATACACATTATGACATTAAACATGGTGACCTTGTGTAACAATTTTGTTAAAAAATTAATAAAAAAATAAAAAATAACTTTTCATTGCTTATCAGTGATACAACATAGTTATTATCTTCGTTTCTGTATTTTTACTATTACTACCTATTGTTCTTATAAATAGTAAGATATTAAAACAATATTTGCATACTAAAACATATGGATGTAACAGCTGGAATTATGTAAATATGAAAAAATAACCTTAAAATAAAATAGATATTAAAACAAAATGGTTAGACTCTAAGTAAATACTTCAATTTAAAAGTAAATAAAGATTATACGTACCAAAATAGAATACGCAATGTATTAGCTATAAGAAGTGTTAAGCAAACATACAGAGAAAAACCATCTGCATCTTGTGTTCTCTTAATTTGCCTGTACTGTGGAATGTAAGGGGCCACTCCACCAATAATCATGGCACCAGCTGCCCCCCAACCGACTAGATGGCCTACTGTTAGACCCAACTCATCTGATATTATCCAATCCATTTTTAAGATTGTTTTTTCTTCCTTTGTATTTGTAATATAAATTTCACACGTATGTCTTGTATGTAAAATTCAAGTAGTATTTTACAACTACATTCATATTTACAAAAAAAAAATATTCCTAATTGAATAAATCTAGGAAATCCTAAAACAATGACAACGATAATAAAACACGATTCAATCAATCATCACAGTGACAAAATGACAACTGGCTGACAAATGACAAAATGACATTTTCTGAAGTACGAACCAAAGAGTACATTTTTTTTCCCTAATTTAAAATAAGACATTGCCATAACGCAATGTCATAAAGTAGTTTCATAAAATTGATCGCACAGTTGAATTATTGATATTGAAAATGTAATTCTCGGTCTTTAATAAGTGTGTTTGGTTTAATCAATAATCCTGTAATTTTGTCTGAAAACTGCTTTATTATCTTATCTTTATTATGTAAACAGATGATTTTGACATATTAGAATGTTTTTAACTTTGAGTTGAGTTGTCAAATTAAAGTTATTTTTGGAAAATTCCGACTTTTTTTATAACGTTAAGTTTAATTTTAATATGTCTATTTTATCTAAGATTTACCCAGTTCTACGAGTTTCCAAGTGTATAGAAATAATTCCTGCGTCGGTTAATATTTCGAATTCTAGTTATGTCCGTTGTTATTCTACTGATAAAGGAAGCGGTTTAACTAAAAGCCACGAGAGAGCTGATGTTTCTACAGATGTTCGACCTCTGGGTGAAAAGATAAAAGAAACTACAAAAACTGTTTCATACACGGGGGTTATTTTAGCCGGCATCGGCGTAACCGGCGTTATATTTTACTATGTATTTCGGGAATTGTTTTCAAGCAATAGCCCCAATAGTATTTATTCAGTAGCTCTCGAAAAGTGCAAGAATGTACGTATAAAATACATGTGTCAAAAACAAAAGTAAACATAAAATAAAACCATAATTTGAAATTTACAGGATCCTAGAATAGAAGATGCTCTAGGAGCTCCTATTAAAGGTTATGGCGAGGAAACAACAAGAAGAAGGCGTACTCATGTTAGCCATGCTGTTTACGAAAAGGATGGGGTAAACCATATGAGAATGAGGTTTTACATTAAAGGCATTAGGAACAAAGGTATTGTTGAATTGGATATGAAACAGGTAATAAAACTGCTAAGTTACTTTATATATTTAAAAAAAAACCTATGTAGTTAATTTATTGACTTGTTATTACTGTTTATAACCTGTTTCAGAATGACTACGGGAACTACATGTGTCGCTATCTATTGGTACAATTAGATGACTTCACTGGAAGAACATTTATTGTTGAAGATAACAGAGCTGAATTAGACCATCAAAAATCGGATTTCGGAAGCCAACTGCCCACCCTTACTTTGACACAGTAAATGAGGACTTTTATAGTCAATTGTAAATAGAGATGTAGATTAAAATACTTAAATTTTTATTTTCTTTTATTTCTAAAAGTAAAAGTTAAAGTCATATCAATATCTACTTCAAGTAATGATAATCCTAACTATGTAATAGCTTGTAAGTTAAAGCATTCATTATTTTATCACATAGCAGAATAATGAACATTTGTTTACATATGTATGTAATCATTATGTACACTTATGTATTATAGACATAGCTAGGTTATACTAATCAATCTTCTTATCTTTCCTTCCATGGAACGACTTCCCATGCCATTAACAGACGCTTGTTGAATACAAATTTCTTCATTTGATTGAATATCCAATAAAATATTGCTACAAGTGACAGATATTGTGGCCATGCCCATTTTAATTCTTGTAATATACTTGGTTGGTATCTAATGTGCATTTCTGGCACACCTAAGCGGATATCCAAATTTAAAACATCAGTGTTACCAGTATGACTATTGGAAAATAGTGTTTTAATCTGTGTTGTTGCTGTAAAAATAAAATATTTTATAAATACCACTAGTCATTAATCACTAATTATTTTATCAGTTTTAGTGAATTACCTGATCTTTTTAAGTATTCTTGCACTATGTGCTCTGTAAAATCTCCTTGTTCATTATAAGTAATATCAAATAGTGATATATTATACCTAGAATCTATAACATTTTTTAAACATGGTAGATGAGATTTTTGATATAATTCTAGGTCCCCATAATAGTTATATCTAAATGGCGTTATTGTAAATTGTCTATTTATTATTGCTAGTGCTTGCATATGCAGTTCACAGGTAGTCTAAAAATAGGTAATAAATGAAGATTGCAATTGAATATAGATTGTACAATGAATAAAACGAAACCTCAATCACTGGCTTGTGGAATAATCAATTTTATTGGCATATCAATATTTGTGAATTTAACGCAATAAAGTATCCCCTCTTATCCTTTAAGAGAATCAATGCACCTGCAACTTAAGAATAGCAATCGTCTAAAATAAGAAAACAACTGCTTTTAGATATCTTAATTGAATTTGCATAAAAAACATAATTCTATTGTATACCTGTAGCTGGAAATCTAAACCCAAAATTAAAACAATTGAAGTGATTCCATGTTTTGGTGACACATTAAGAGAAAACTCAAAATGTACCATATCAGTTCTTCCGTCAGCATTATAATCGTATTCTTGGATCTGCAATGTAAACCATACATAAAATAATTCACTTTACACACAAAGAAACTATTTAGTAAAGATTGTAATATATACCTGAGTTTCTGCACAGTTTTCATCATTAGTGTTTTCTAGATTTATGTTCGTGGCATCACCACAAATAATGGATTCACTTGGATCCAAGGTTGTAGCTACCAAAAAGTACTCATATGTAGGACGTACAACTGGCTGTTCGTAAAAACTATGTGACTTGAGCCAAAACCCTAAAAGTAGGAATTTTCCAAGTAAATTATCTAAATAATGAATTGCTATTTGTTTTTCACAGGATCTTAAATATTAACTTTAGCACAATTACGAAGAAGTGAACTGAATCCGATTCGAAGACTAATACCAAGTACCACTCAGATTAGAAAACGGAACGCATTTAGCTGTATTTTGTACCAGCTGTTGCCCGCGACTTTGTACGCGTGGTATTAGAAAACATACAAACTATAAAAATTACAAAAGCTACGCATCCCATGTGTACTCCAGACTTTGTTTTATATCTGTGCCAAATTACAATAAGATATATTGAACCTTTGCAGAATGATCGAGTAAACATTAAAAAACTAAATTAATGAATCCCAAGGAAACCGTAACTATTCCAGGGATAAAAAGTAGCCTATGTGTTCTTCCAGACTATGCTCTAAACCTGTGCCAAATTTCATGGAGATCCGTTCAGCCGTTTAGGCTACAAACGCTAACATACATACATCCACCCATCCATCTATCCATCCATCCATCTAAACTTTCGCATTTATAATATTAGTAAGATAAGATAGAACACAGATCAACCATAACAATTACATTCAGACAAATAAAATAATAAAAATAACAAAAGAACCTATTACCTCTGCTCCTGTATGCGACAATAAACGGTAAAATTATATTTAAAGCCGTAGTTATTAATGTGAATAGAGTTGCTTTAGATAGAAAATAACTTTTGTATTTAATCTCCACACTATGGCTGTACAAATGATAAAGTCCCATTGTATACACTGAAGTTAGACTTTCTTAGACTATTATAAGCAAAACGAAACAGTTTTATTCCTTTTTCACTTTAAATAACTAAACTTAAATTCGCATTGCATAAAGTGAGCTGCAATGTCGATTTGTTTACTATGACTTCGTTGCTTAGCAACAGCGTTGAATAGCTGACTTTCTGTCGTTATTCAATTGTTTAATTTTTAATATGTATTTTTTATCTAATAATCAACATAACTATAATGTGTTAAGTTAAATAAAAGTAATCTTACTTCTAATTATAAATGTGGAAGTTTAGACGGTTGGATGGATGGTTAGTTTGTAGTCTAAACGGCTGAACGGATCTCGATGAAATTTGGCATAGTTGTAGAGAATAGTCTGGAGGAGCACATATGCTATTTACTTTTGCTTCTTTCAATTCCACGCGGACGGATTTGCGATCGAAAGCAAGTGCAAAATAAACTCCGTTGTAAAAAAAAATTAGGTTGTTCTTGTTTTTACTTTTATAAGTTAAAATAAAATGATATGCGAGTGTCTCTTACTTTTAATAAAGCTGCATTACTGGATGTATGAGAGCAAAGAACTAAAACAAAAGGCTCGGTATTGTGTGCAGTTGCAGTGTCAGTGACCGTCTTCAATGTACGAGTAAGTTTAATACATGGAAATGAGTATTCTAGAACACTAGCTTAAACAGTTTTAGTTTTGTTTACTTTGAATTTAGTTTAAGTTAAAGATTATGATTACTTTAACTGCCGATCAGAAGTCTTGGTTTTGGAGAAAATTTTGCAGTAAATTTATAATTACAGTTATGTTATTCAAAACGTTTTTAGTACTAGGAACAAATACTTAATAATTAGAAAAGGTTTAGAAGATAAGGTGTTAGCCGACAGCTATTATTACTTCGCTTAACACACATAATAAAAACAAAAGTACCAAAATGGATGAAAAAGTCTTTAATTACTTTGTATGTTCCATTCATCAATGTGGTTAAGTTACTGTTAGCAGTTCACAGTGTGCGAGACAATGGCACGTGTCTCGACGTCTCCAAGTCAGCGAGCAAGCACAATGGTGCGCCCGAAACCAGCGAGTGTGGCGCCCGGCAGGACATCTGACACCGCACCCGTGAACGAGCTCTCTCCTGCAGGTTCCCTATATAAACATTCAGGGAAATAAGAACTCTCATTCGCTCTAGTGTCGTTGGCATAGAGCAAACTGTGGTACGTTATCTACGTAGTGAAATTTCTATTTAATTTACTTTGCGTGATTTTATAATTGGTCTACGAATTTGCAGATCCAGTATGGACAGAATGTCATCAAGCATGACGTCTAGTATGACCGGGATGGGGCTCGGAGGAATCACGGGATTAACCTCCGGGATGAGTACGTTGAGCTGTGTTAGAGAACAGCAAATTACGATCGGCGGGATGCCATCTAATTATGTCCCGGGTCTATCGGCGTCCTACAATATATCAAGCTTCTGTCATCGCCCGGGACTTACGCGCCGCGGTGCCATGCAGCGACCTGGACCCTCGGCTCAGCATCGTCCGGGGCGTTCGCACAGCACCGGCGCTTTGCACCGCATGAAGCATTCTTCTCGCAACAGCCCAAATACCCAGTACACTCATAATCTCATCTGCAAGTTAGCCGATCAAAATGAACGTCGTCGTCGCCACGATACCATGGAGTTAATTCCGCAGAACTACTATTCTCAACAGCCTCTAAAGGTGGAATTAACTGAATTCTATTCTAGAGACAATGCAAAGGATCATCATACGGAGCAGTACGAGCTCGTGAACGATAGCATCTTGCCGAATCCTGTGTTGCGCAGGGGGCAGAACTTTTTCTTCGCAGTTCGCTTCGATAGAACATACGACAAACAGCAGGATGTAATTCGTATCGTATTCTGCTTAGGTAAGTTTTCTTAAAGAAATTGAAATAATTAAGGTCAAATAGTAAAAAACGAGAAGGACAACCCTATGTAAGTAGGACAGAGTCATGACTGAAGAAGAAATATTAATTTGGACTTATGAACATGTTATGCAAACCCTTATTTATTTAACAGCTTTTAAGATTAACTAATTTAATTCTATCTGTAATTTTCACAGGTCCTAAGCCAAGCGTTACGAAAGGGACTCGAGTAGTGTTGTCTGTGAACTTGAATACTCAACAAGGGGTCTTCCAACATTCCCGTGATATGATGGGGTTGGGGATGGCGCGGATGCAAGAAGCTACAACGACCATAGCCCCGATAGGGAGCATGGGAACTATTGGCACGATGACGACAGTGAGCACGATAGGCACCATGCCCCCTATGAGCGGTATGCGTGAAACAACTACGTATGGTGTCCGACGCAGCTCTTTCGGGAACGAAACGATGCCTCTGCAGCATAGCCCGCTCAGCCCACCGGGACCCATGGACCGGCCGGTGATCGAGCGATACAGCGCTACGGCGCAGCACCCATCGTTCGGTCGCAGTTACGGTTCGCGGCACGGATCCCGCCATGGCTCCTCGCAAAATCTTACCTCTATGACCCATGAAATGGATAAATGGGACGTAAGCGTTCAACGCCAAGACGGGAATACTATAACATTCCAAGTCCACGTTCCGGCTAACGCTCCGGTGGGGGTGTGGAATTGCTGGGTGCAAACGAACCGCACCGGCCAGCGCGACAATCGCCACGACTACAAATGCGATGAGGACATCTACATTTTGTTCAATCCCTGGTGTCGCGAAGACTCGGTGTATATGGACAATGACGCTTTCAGAAAGGAATACGTGCTTAATGAGCAGGGTAAGATTTGGTGCGGTACTTGGCGCCAGCCAAAAGGCCGCAAATGGATCTACGGCCAGTTTGATGACGTTGTGCTGCCGGCTTGCATGTACCTGTTGGAGCGCAGCGGCCTCGAGCATTCGGAACGCGGTAATCCAGTTCGTGTTTGTCGCGCCATTTCATCGATTGTAAGTTGGGAAACATTTATTGTCCATATTTTTTTTATATATGCTTACATTTGCAATACATATTTATATTTTTAACACAGATTAATGCGAATGCAGATGATGACGGTCTCATGGTGGGAAGGTACGATGGGGAATATAAAGATGGAGTATCGCCACATGCTTGGACTGGTTCGGTAGCCATCTTGGAACGTTACCTGACTGATGGCGGTCGCCCTGTGGAATACGGTCAATGTTGGGTTTTCTCGGGATTAGTCGTAACGATTTGTCGAGCACTCGGTAACTAGTTAAAACTTTTTATTGACTTTGGCATTTTAACCCATTACTCGTCGCTAAACTATTCATTCTATTCAAGGAATACCTTGTCGCTCCGTCACCAACTATGTATCGGCGCACGATACAAACCGCACGTTTACCGTCGACAAATACTTCGACCGCGACGGCAATGAGGTGCCCAACGGCCCCGACGAGGATTGCTATGACTCGTGCTGGAACTTCCATGTTTGGAATGATGTTTGGATGCAGAGACCGGATTTGCCGCAAGGTAAAAACAATTATTTGTTCAGTACGATTACGTTATTGACTTTTTAGGTACTTAATACACTTAATACAGTTTCAAAACTTTATAAGGATGTTCATTTTTGTAATATCAGGATATAGTGGATGGCAAATTATTGATGCAACGCCCCAAGAAGAGGCGGAGGCAGTGTACCATTGTGGCCCGGCCAGTGTGGAGGCCGTGCGCCGCGGGGAGGTCGGCTTCCAGTACGATACGCCGTTTATGTACGGCCAGCTCAACTCCGAGCTCTGTCACTTCCAGGAGGAGGAGAATTCCGACTGGGGCTTCATTAGGATGGCGTCAAATCAATGCCAGTGAGTAAATTATATTCAGCTTGTTGTTATCCTTTTAAAACATAAATAAGGAAAATCACAAATTCCCAGGAAAACCGACACTGAATTTGGATTTCCATGTGTTCATATCGAATTTGTGAAAAAAATCTTGGACATGTTTTCAGAGTGGGTCGAAAGATACTAACCAAGAACCCGAGTCGTGATGATGATGAGGGCGAAAGCGACTTGCTGGAGATTACCCACGAGTACAAGAGCGTGGACAACTCGGGCCCCGACCGTGGCACTGTGATCGCCTCCTGCCGCGGCTACCAGCGTCTGCAGCAGTACTACGAGTACCCTGATCGTAACTTCGATGACGTCTACTTCGATCTTATGGACATTGATGTCGTACCTTACGGGCAACCGTTCGATTGTACCATGAACATCCAGGTAAAAGGTTTTTTCATACCTACCACTAAATCAAAACAATAACAGATTACTTTCAGTACGAATATAAGAATCTTTCTTTCTTTTTAGAACAAGTCTCACGAAGACCGTACGATTTTATGCGTGCTGACTGCATCCGCGTGTTACTACACTGGTGCCATCGCATCCCGGCTGCGACGTGCTCAAGGCGAGTTCATAGTGCGCGCCGGACAGCGCGAGGTCCTCAAGCTGCACGTCACCCCGCAAGAGTACATGGACAAGCTGGTAGACCATTCGATGGTGAAGGTGCACGCCATGGCTTACGTCAAGCAGACGCGCCAGGCTTGGTCTGATGAGGACGACTTCCCACTCAATAAACCAAGGATGCAAGTACAGGTACAAACAACATAAAAGCGGGGTTCATAATTCACAACAATTAAGGTGACATATTATTGATGCATCTATTCTGTACACAGGTAAGGAGCCAGCCTAGCGTGGGCCAGGAGTGTAGCGTGACCTTCAGCTTCCAGAATCCATTGACCGTTCATCTCACTGACTGCTACTTTACCATTGAAGGGCCTGGAATACAAAGACCGCGGCAGGTAGGGATAACAAACTATATTTAAATTCCTTTCTCTAGTACCTAGCCAATACATCATAACATGTATTCAAAATTTTAAATAACTATTATGTTATCATTCATTGAGTTGTTACTTTTTTCGGCCAGGTTCGTTTCCGTGACGTGAAGCCCGGCGAGTTCGTGAACTTCCAGGACAAGATGACGCCGCGGCGCGCCGGAGACCGCCACATCGTGGCCACGTTCTCTTCGCGACAGATGGACGAGATCTTCGGTTGCGCAGCGGTGACCGTGCGTGGCTAGCTAGCCTCCGGGCCCCGGGCCTCCCCGCGCCCCCGCCCGGCGCCCGCCCCCGCCCCCAGCCCCGGCCGCCGCGCGCCCTCGTCGCCGCCCGCCCTGCAAGTGGACCATTCCTACGTATCCTATCTTTGGCCCGAAAAACGCTTGTACATACAAGAGGAAGAATTCTTTATCATGAAATCATTATAATATTAATTGGCTTCAAAATTTATTAGCGGCGAGCATATACTATGTAACGATACTAATCACTGTATCCCTATTTAAATGAAAACTTATGACGGACTAATCAACGACGACGACTTGGCTTCTCTGAACGGATCGAGTTTTACTTAGTTAAGTAATTTACATAAAATAAAAAAAATAACAATCACTTTTTGCACGTGTGTTTTAAAACAGTATTAGCGTTGTAAGGACCAAACCGCGGCTTCCCGTGCCATTTACTATTTTTTTTACATTTTTGAGGTCTTTTTTTACGACTATAGATTTAAGATATTAATAAGTTTTATATTTTTTTATTCCATTATTGTTGTTATGAAGTTATATAAAAGTGTGATGCACTGTGTTTGTGTGTTTTTGGGATCTCAAAAATAATAAAACATTGCATAATATGAAAAAGTGTTTTATTTGATTCGAACCACAAGATTGAGATATTTTTGTTGCTCTCTAGTGTAAAAATATATCTAAAGACAAAGGCTATTAATTTCGAAGCACGCAATGGATCCTTTGATATCAAAGAGTTTGTTGCGTCAATTTTATTTTTGATCAAAGAAAACAGAAAGCGCTATGCTTTTGTTTTATGGTTATACTGTTTCCGTGTTATATTTAGAACAGGATTATTTCCTTCATTTAACGGCATTAATACATTAGCAAAATATTTATTACATCAAAAGATTTCCTTAAACAATACCAAAATTCCCCTTTAACAATAAGCTATAAAGGATTTCAATTAGTTTACCTTGTTTCAAGATGCTAACAATTTGAAATTATATATCGAGGATCAAATAGAACAACATGCCTTAGGTTTTTAAATTAATTTCAAATTTGTTACCGCAAATACAATTGTTCATTGTCTCGTTTAAACCTACTTACTACGCGATTGTCTGGATGTGTTTGGGACTTTTCAATAGGTCAATAATCTCGGTACTTTTATCAGCTTAAAAATATGATGTTATTCGTAATTTTATAGTATTTTATTAAGTGTTGTAATGTTAAATTCTGAATAACGTGGTAAAGACATGTTCATTCAGACACATTTTTTTTTTATAATTACATTGGCTTTCGCCCTCGACTCCGACCGCATGGAATTAAAAAAAAAAAACAAAGTAGCATATATGTTCTTCCAGACTATCCTATGCATCTATGCCAGCTTTCATCATGGTCCGTTCAGTAGTTTAGGCTACAAACTGTAACAAACATCTATCCACCTAAACTTTCGCATTTTACGACAGATAGGCTGAGTTAAATCTGAACGCCATCCTTGGCTAGTCGGAGAGACATCTCAAGAAGGGTATTTCATTTAACTAACCTATGCATATGCAAGTTGAATACCGGGAATCAAACCCAAGATTGGAAGCCCGTATTCTTAACTCTTAGGATATTGGCACTTCCAATTTCACGTGTACTTTTTAACAGTGGTAGAGCCCGCTTTAACATCTTCGCACGAATTGGCCGGCCCGCCCGGTGTATACCACGACCACACAGAAAACAGGCGTGAAGTGGAAGCAATTCCGCGTTTCGTCTGATGAGTATGGTGCCGGCGGCCTAATTTTAGTTTCTTTCCCTTTCCACTCTTTTTTTAGCGGAAAGGACGGGAAGGAAAAGTAGATTTGGCGCGGAGGAGACGCATAGGAAGAGGAAATTTCCTCTTTATGTTCGCCTCCTCCTCCGTCAATTAAAGGTAGGCAACACATCGGCAATTATGGATGTTTATGGTGAATTCAGGTGGCCGCTTGCTCGTTTGTCACCTTGTATTATAAAAAAAAAACTTTTGCAATAATGATTTCATCGTTAAGTTATGTTACAAAAAAGTCATTGACACAAAAAAGTCCCGTCCCACAATGGGATATCAGCTTAAATTTATACATATTTTGTGGCTTTATCAATCGGAGTTTCCTTTAAGTGACGTGTTTTAAATACCGCGCAAATGTTTGCTCATTAATAATGTAATACTTTGAAATAACATGATGCGTTTTGGAGAAGACCTCAACGAAACGCGAAAAACGTCATTCTCCGATTTTTCTGACACATTTTTGACCTTGACACGCTAACCGCTATTGGTAAATTACGTTCCTGTAAATGCGTCAAAAATTATTAATCGTACATAGAGATTCTGGAAATCGCTTTTGAACTTTTGACAAATGAAGTCATAGGTAACAGCTAGTTTGTAAGTGATGTCTGAAATTACACACATCATTCTTCTGAAGAAAAAGGTAAATAAAGATTAATACTGGTTATATGCAATTTGAATATTTTGGTTTTATCAACAAGCAGTACGTGCCTTGGCCGACGCAGACCCGAAATATGCAGCCGTGAAGGTTAAATTAGCCGTGAGCTTTTGTTAAAACATAATTCTGTAGATCGCGTCTTATTAATAGTTTAAAATCGACTGCAGAACATTATGATTATAGAATCTATCCATAATCTATACTAATATTATAAAGAGGAAAGATTTGTTATTTAGTACTTTTGTATGTATTGAAATAATTCAAAAACTACTAGGCCGATTTTAAAAATTCTTTTATCGTTAGTAAGGTAATTTATCTGTGATCTCATGTTATCTTTTTATTATACCGCGCGGATGTAGTCGCGAGTAACAGCTAGTTTTGAAAAACTTACAAATCGTTAAAATATAAATAAAACTCAAGTGTCATTTTTTACAACTTATACATATAACCACACAAATTGTTCTTTCAAAGTAATTCATAATTCAGGTCACTTAAGTCATTATTTCTAAGAATGTTACCTATCAATCTATTGTTTAATAACGGACTGATTGACGTATAAATTAAAGGAAAAAATGTACAGAAGACCTTCGACTCGCGCAATTTGCCATTGACACTATCAGACTGCACGTACTCGTAAGTCTGTCTGTACCAAGTATACTCACCGCAAACCTTTGGTAATGTGAAATTAGCATACGAAACGCATTTCACGTGTGAGCGAAAAGGTCATACACAAGATTCATATGTGAAACAGAGGAATATATAATCTAATCGTGTTAATTTTTGTCTTATTAACTTCAGATATAGAGAGGTTTGTGTCGTTTTTTATACAAGTACTACGATGATGTCACACGTTGTATATTATCACGATCGTGTCCTACGTAACAATGTTTTGTCAACATGTTAATTTATAAAGTGTGATACGAAGGCTGTAGCGACTTAAATATTGACCAAGCATATAACCGCTATAGCTGTTATTTTTAGAATTTTCACTCAAATTTAAATTTATATTAGAAGTTAGGTTTGTGTAAATTATTTTCATTAGTTACATTTTGAAATAAATGTTTACGTTACTTAAATTCCATATACCCTTTTATTAATTTATTTAGGTCAATATGACAGGATATTGAGTCACATTTTGGTCATGGCAATTGCCACTAAAAAAGTAACTTTCATCAAAATGATGACTGAAATTTCAACCTTGAGAAGACGGATGAATGAATGAAGACTGTCTTAAAAAGAAAATTCATTTTGTGTTACTGTTACCTAAAGGGATAGGCAGTTATTACAGTAATTAATTTTTATTTCCTTCCGAATCATTAGATAAGACTGCGTACTTATCTAGTGTTTGGCGAAATAAAATCATCTCATACATCATACACAATCTCGTCAATTCCGAGTACAGTTTTCCATCATCCCGGGGCCTTCGAATGCATCTTACTAACTTTTTAAGAATGTGTTGACCGCCTACATTAGTTGAATGGAATAAATTTTACTCTATCTAGAAATAGGACCGAGGTCTTGTAGCTTAGTATGGAGGTAATTTAACCATACAACTTAATAACTAGCTGAACAAGTACGTTAATAGAATAAAAGTGACAAAGAATTTTTAAATTTTAAGGGATCGTTGGAAAAATTTACTATAAGAGAATCTTTTGATTCATTTTAAAACTAGCTTTTGCCCGCGACTCCGTCCGCGTTGAATTAGAAAACAAACAAAAGTGTATAGCCTATATGTTCTTCTAGATTATCTTCTACATTTATACCAAATTTCACCGGAATGCGTTCAGCCGTTTAGGCTACAATCTCTAACAAACCTCCATCCATCTAAACATTCGCATTTATAACATTAGTATGAACTATGATGTCTTCAGATAGATCACAATAACTGTCTTTCTAACAAGGCGTAAAGCTTTAGTTGTACTATCAGTATAAACTTTAGTTTATATAGATATGTAACAGTCGTTGTACATTTTAACGTAACTACGAGTATTACCTGTGGTTATATGTACTGAGAAACTGCATAAACCGGTTTTACTACAATATTTACAAACATCGTCCACATTTTAGTAACGACAGTAGATTTGTTCGATGGATAGATTGATATAGAAAGAGTCTTTTGAGAAATTATGTAATACTAGCTTGAAAATGTACCTAACATATTTAGTCTACAGTGTTTGGTGAATGTAGCTTTCTATTGGTGAAAGAATTTTGGAATTTGGCCTATTAGTTTTTAACTTATGTCAATACACGCAAATATGCAAAAACACGAAACTCTCCTCTTGATAATATTAATATAGACTGACTCCTTTTCGGACGATTATTGATATAATAGTTAAAGGTTATCAATTAACAGGTCAACCTAAGAATTAAGAACACACTGTTAAACAGTTTTCGTTCTGGTTATCCTCTTTGCAATTATACGGAATATTACGTAGGATTATTACTAAATTGTTTTACATTAAGAAGAAAAAGACGTAAGTAGGACATTAATAATTGTATTGGTGTTGCGTCCAGAATTGTGAGTAATTTAATCGTATGTGATTCATTAATTATTCATCATTAGGGTGATGTACCGTTCAGAGATCGTACTGTCCTGGGTTTTTGCAAGTTTGATAAGAGGTCACGTCACGTATCATCCTCCCTATAGGGCGAGACCAAGCGCGCGTAAAGTAGACGAATTGTAGTCGCTGCGTGGTGCGCACGCGCAGAATTTTTTTTCGTAAAATTAATAAATCGAAAATCGTTTATTCTTGTGTGAGTGGTTTACGTCATTGTGTTCGGTTTATCTTAAGAATTGGTGAACCTAATTTAAGAAGCCCGTACTGTTTACGTAGCGCCAGACTGTGTAAACAATCGAGAGATTTTTGAAATCGATTCGGCGTTTGAATTTCGATTGCGATAATTGGTTGTTAAGTGGATAGTGTTTAGAGCTCGAGTTTATTCATTTATGACTGTTAGCGAGTGTCGAAGATGGGTGCGGTGAAGAGTAAGCTGGCTGGATGCTGTCCGCCTCAATGCGTTTGTTGTCTGGGCAGCAAGTCGGATTCCTGGGACCTTAAGAAATTACCACGGCCACCGCTACTTGACACTTCTAATGGTAAGTCAACGTCACATCACTTGTATTGATACAGATGATAACTATTGGTTTTGGTAAGTGTCCAAGTGCTACTATTAAAGTAGGGTACCGTTAGTTTCCACTGCCCAAAACATGTTTCGAAACATATTTCTATACCACTTATTTATTTTAATAACAATCACAACAGACAAATTCCTTTAGGTGTTTAGTTTCACAATGTTAAGGAAGTTATAAATATTATTTTCATATTTTCGATGTTAAATTTTTACGAATGAGGAAATCTTAGTATTATAGTTATATCCAGGAATAACGAATGAGAAAAATGACGTCTTTAGTATTTAATACTTTTAGTGATTTATGGTTTTATTTAATGTAAACTCGTTAAAAACAGATTATCTTTGTTAATTGAAACGTATCTAATGGATATTACACACATTTGAAGATTTAAAACCTAGTTATATTAAGTATTACCTGATGATTATTCTTTGAGATGTTTCTTATTTATTAAGCGTTACACTTACTTTAAAAACAACCAATTAGAAAAATACCATCCTGAACTAAAAAAATGTGAAAAACTTCGCAAGAGAAATTATCTTATTTGATAATGCGGAGAAGAATTTTCGATTAAAATTTAACAAAGCGAATAACTCATACAGATTAAACGCTTTTATCAAATCTAAACTAAAGTGAATAAAGAAACTCGTAAACATCAATAAAATTGAATTCTCTTCAGAAGTTTAAAAATAGTAGTTTCTTGAAGATGCCGTTATTGTTTCCGTATTTATTTTATGCTACTGAATGAGAATGTGACTGTTGCGTAAGATATAAACCGGTCCAGCCTTCGTTAGTAAAGTGTACATTGATTAGTTCTTACTACTGTTAGGAATAAAATTAGTACCGTGCTATAGAATTGGCGCAACTCTAGATTATCGGCATAAACGTCACGTCCCTAGCTGACAGCTGTCAATGTCACTAGAAGTATGGATAGATTGGCGCGTAACTTGAGTCTTGACGAGAAGTATTGCTCTGAGTTAAAAGCGACAGTATCAATTAAATAAGTTGTCTAATACTACTAAGTTGAAATGCATAAATAATACGTAAGATTGACTTATCCAACATACCTGAGAAGTAGTAGGGGCTACGGTTTCCGCAACGCCACTAGCGCGTATTTTGCGTGAGAACAGGACATGGATTAGTCCAGCCAACCCAGCGAACCGAAGAACCCCTAGCACAATATACCTTAATACACACTTTGGGATAGATAATAAATCGAAAAACTCTTTACGTTTTGTTCAGCTATACTAAAAGGGGATATAGCACGAAAATTTGTGAAAAAGTATTCGTAACCTTGACATTTGTAATAAGATTTCTTGGTGTATTTTACGCACGATAGAGCACAAATCAAATATAACTTTTGTTATAGAATACTTTCTCGTGAATTTTCGTGATAGACCCCAGGTAACAATACAAGGAACTTTTCTACATATGGGATGTAGTTATAAAAATTACTTCCCTGTCAGTCGGGAAATTATTAATATATGGTAAAGTCACTGAAATCTGAATGGCGTGGGATGAGGATTCCCCGTGATGTAACTAAATGATTCATTACACATTACACATGTTGATATAATTAAATTAATTACTAGCGTAAAATTATCCCATTATCAATTCTATAAATAGTGTGTTGGAATAAGTATGCTATAATATAAATGGAATAGACAGCAAGAAACGTTCGACGAAATATTACGGTAAAATATAAGTACTCCATTAATGTTTTTGTGTCCACAAGGAAAAATTGACGAGAGAATCTTTATTTTAGAATGTTATTGAATTCTTATGAGGAATGACAAACACGTGCTGCACAATATGTAGCTGATAATTTATCTCTAACAACTGTGAAGAAGAAATAATTTGTTTTGTTTGTCTGTCATTAATTTCAAGCGTACATCGACGTAAATAATGTTGAATGTCGTTTCTGAGTAAAATATACTAGATTATGAAAACGCTAAACACGTTTTGTAATTATAAACTAGCTCACGACTTTGTCTGTTCGGAATTTTTAAAAGTTTACCTTTTTTGTTTCCGAGTTCTGGTATTCGAGGTATTGTGTAACTAGCTTTCGCCTGCGACTCCATCCGTGTGATCTTAATAAAACAAAAGTGAGAAGTATATTTGTTCTTCCACACTGTCCTCTAGATATATGCCTTATCTCCATAGATATAGATCCATTTAGCCGTTTAGACAAGAAGTTTAGCAAACATCCATCCAAAACTTTTATTTATAATGTTACTAGGATTAGTAAAATCATGTTAGTTACACGGACGTTGCCAAGTAAGGGCGGATCCAGTTTTGGCGCGGGTCACATAGTATTTGCCGTTGCTGCCAAGAGAGATGAGGAGGGAAGCAAAATTTGACTACGCGCCTTTTCCACTAAGGAAGTGTTTCACTTTTTCATACAACTTTACCACAGATAGTTTACATAGCTGTTAGTACTACATCGAAGTAGGCAGACAAGATTACGTTAAACAACAGATAAGCCGAGAGGTTTCACAATATCCGTTCAAGATTCAAGGCAAACTAGTGTCACATTATTACAGGTATTACATACTAACGGATTAAATAAAATTCTCTATCTTTTAACTATATATAATTAACGTTAGATAATTCAATACCATACGTTTGTTTTTAAATAACTAGATTATTGAAGCTTTATTCGTTATACTGCTTTTGATGTTAAATATTACTATAGTTAAAATGTAGGAAATATTTCTTATATTCAAGATTTAACTTATTTGTGGCCAGTTTTACAGATTTCTTGAACCATTTGTTAGTGTTATTGGTTCGATAACTTCATGAAATGCGTTCACTAGAGGGTGGCCATCGTGGAGGTTTTAGTAGGTCAAATCCTACATAACCCTGCCTTCCCCCCAGAAGGCAAGGTATCTTTTGAAGATTTCCCCCGGCACAAAAAAAGGTACTAGAAATCTTTTCCCTTTGAGTAATAAAAATCTCTAGAAATAAAAAATAAAAGTTCGAAATCAAGTCATTGTGTAGTGACCTTTATAATTATTCGTGCTTATTGATATCCTTATAAGATTAGAAAAACTTTATCGCAATTATATGTGTTTTGTAATAAGAGGACAATGGACGGGAAAATATTTCTTATCATACTAAGATTGTTTATTTTAAATACATATGTGTAACATGCAATCAAGTAGAACTATACGGATACTCATAATACTCGATATTATCAACTACCTTTCGCCCGCGACTCCGTCTGCGGGGAGTAAAAAAAAAACAAAAGCAAGTAGCCTATGTGTTCTTTCAGACTATCCTCTACATTTATGCCAAATTACATCGAGATCCCTTAAGCCGTTTAGGCTACAAACTCTAACAAACATCCATCTAAACTTTCACATTTATAATATTAGTAAGATAGAATATAGATGAAAATCAATAATGACACAATGTTGAAGTAATCAATAATTTTATACAAGATAAAATCTCGTGGCATGCAAAATTAATTTCAATGTATTTGTTCTGCATCTATGAAGCGTCGAGGAAAACATAAATAGAACTGTCAATCATAAGGTCGTTTGAACCTTAACGGTGATCTTTGATAAATGAACTCTTAACACCTGTATTACAATATTAGCATCTCTTTCACTCTCATTTAAAAAATGGGATAGCAATACCTACAAGTGATATGAAATATGAATTTCAAATAAGTACCTGTTCAATATATGCATAGATGTAGAGGATAGTCTGGAAGAACATATAGGCTTTTTACTTTTGTTTTTCTTTAATTCCACTCGGACGGAGTCGCGGGCTTAAGCTAGTATGCTATAGTATAACAGAATGACATACGGTAATGAATGAAATGCACCGTGACTGTCAGTGACGAATGATTGTACAATACGATTGTGTATAGACCATATATTTGCAGAAACCTACGCGCCGTTTGTGTGGGACCTTCCAAGGCCATGTTACATCCCATTATAGCTATACCACTCACCCACTACACTAATTAATACCATTTTGGTTAAAAACTACATAAACGATAGTCAAAAGATTTACCGCCGTAATCGTTTCCGTAAAAAATCTATAAAAGATGGAGAATAAATTGAAGGTATAAATGACATTTATATGGCTACTGGCTGTTGACGGCGATTCCATCCGCGCACAATTAAAAAAATAGTTAAGTAGCTATGTGTTCCAGACTATCCTCTACATCTAAGCAAAATTTCACGTAGTTGCTGTTAGATTAATTGTGCATAATATTAAATAATTTAAAAAAAAACATACCTCCATAAACGTAGACGCATTTCTATCTGTGGTGATGAAGAAATGTCTATAATACTGTTTGAAAATCGTTTTCTCCGTAGCAGCTCTAAATAACTCTGGTAACTATGGTAGGTCTGAGAGCGCCGTAAGAGGTTATATTGAGAAACGCTGACGCACGCGCCCTCAAACTCAATATTTGCACATGGTATGTGTACTGACGGAATGTGTAATCCAGTAGCATTCCGGAAAAAACAAGTATTAGTATCTAAAAGTAAGATAAAACACGAAAGTACCTATTTAATTTTTAAATAGCGGTTGCAAAAAAGGTAATCGTTCATTTGCAGGAATTACGTAAGATCTCGTTGTACCTTCTACATTCCATAAGGTTATTTTTGAATTAAACCATACACAGATAAATTAATTGAATAAGTATTGGAAATAATGCAAGTAATTGGTTTTATTACGAGTAATTGAAATATTAAAAACGATAATTGATTGACCCTATAATTTATGGTCAAGACCATGTGTTCTTAACGCAACTAAGCGCACTGGCTGATAAGAGTTGTGTATTTTTTTCTATATTTTCACAAAAGGTATCTTTAATTAAATTCATGTTTTGTCATAACCTACATTTAGTGAACATTTTGTATTTAATTCTTAAGTTATTTTAAGCATTAGTTAATTAAGTTTCTTGTATTATTCTTGTTAAGGAAAGTAAGGATTTCTTTTTTTTATTTATTTATTTACACCAGAAAAAATATAATGCAGCCAAACTGCAAAACAGTTTGTTGGCGACATGCACCCATTTCTAATATCTTGTACTTATTCTTAAATCTTTAAATATGTTTTAATTTTGTAAGAAATGATTTCTTAATTTATCTTTTGCAATATTTTTGAATTAATTGCAATGCTTTTATCTCTGAGGAATTCACGCACTAAAATTCTGTTTAGGTCATAATTAAGATAGGAACAAATAGTATTCTTGCCTGTTTACCCCGTTTTGGATAAAGGATTCATGACTAATGTTTAACCTATAACTATTAACGCTTCTTAAATTACATAGAATGCAGTCATTCGATTACCAGTCATTGTCCCTGAACCAGAATAAGTCGTCAAGTGCAGACTTGCTCATACATTACTAAGAAACGACACTTTGACATATTACGTTAAATATATTTTTATTTGGCGGTTAAATAAACAATAATCATCAATGGACATTTTTTAACTTAAAACTCGAATGTAAGCAAAGACAAATATATTGATAACAAGGTCTTGCCCGCGATTCCGTTCGCGTGTAATTAAAAACAAAAGTAAGTAGACTTTGTGTTCTTCCAGATTATCCTCTATATCTATACCAAATTTCATCGAGATTCGTTCAGCCGTTTAGGCTACATACTGACATACATCCATTCATCTAAATTTTCGTATTTATAATATTAGTAAGATATATGATACAGTTGTTTAAGTGTATATTTTATGATTAATAAGTATGAAATGGTAACTATCCCTCGTCAATTTATCTGAGGAATTGGTTCCACTTTGTTGATGTTATGAGATGTTATGAGATCACCGATAGAGTTAGATATAGCAGTATTATAGGTCCGACTCCGAAGGCGGGAAACACAGTGTATGACGGCATACAAAAAGAACAGCACGTTTGCTCACGCAATTAGCATCTCCTCAAAGTCGGAGTTCGGCAACACTTTTAATACTATTAGATTTATAGCCGATATGTTGCTCGTGTAGTTTAGGAAGTGTTCAAGATTTAACAGTGTACTATCATGGAGTATTTAAAGAATTTATGGAGATATTATTTTGGAAGGAAACAGAAGTACATCATTGTACCGTTCCAGCCAGGTTTGTTTTTAATTGTTTTATATTTTGTTAATTTATTGCCATATAGAAATGTATATTGTTTAGATAAAAATGGTATTTCAAGGGGTAATAAATTGGCGAGAGGCCAACTGCGAGGCGCGAAAATTCCTAACCGTGATTGTATTTAATGAATGAATTTTCCTGCTGAATCTCTGGCTATATTTATAATCCAAAATCAATTAAGATTTGACAATAAGTACTTAAGGCAAATAAAAAACATGACATAACTAAAGTATAATAATTTACAACCGTGTGTTTTGGAATATCATTTGGAAACTATAAACTTTAAAATAACTGTGAAATCTGTAAACCATTTATGGCATATTATAAGAGAACAAGAAGAAAAAAAATATATATAAAAAAGTGAAAATAACTCACATTCTTTCTAAAGGTACTTAGACTGAGTCAACATTTAAATCTATTTAAAGAGAGATTACAAAACATTTAATTATCTCGAGATAGTTACAAGTTTTTTGCCTGTAAAAGAAACCTACACGTATCATATTTATGTATCTAACTACTAAGTAATAAAGCGGATGAAACAATTACCATAGACTATAATACAAAGTCAATAAAAAAACTAACATATTTTTAATAACGTCAGACCAGATGTGCAATTGTTTTATTTATTAATAGTGCGGGTATGTACCTCACGTTTTAATATTCTAAATGCATAAGTTGATAAATGAATGTTTGTTATTACGTATCTTTGAAGCTATCTTAAGGAACTCAATGAAAGGCCGAGACATCAGTTTCCAGTACATGATCTGGGAGAACACATAGGCCACTTACTAAGCTTTTTAAAATTTCGCGCGGTAGAAACCGCGGGCAAAAACTAATATGTTAACGCATGTAAACTGTTTGTTTATTCAGATGTCATCAGCGGAACTAGACAAGGCGTGCTCGCGGTCCAAGGGATAGACTTCTGTATCGAGACGAACGGGGATAACCATCATACCAACAAATTCAATCTGATGACAAGGAATGTCGACAGATGTCTGGTTGTCAGACGAGGTCAGGCCTTCAAACTCGACATATTAATGAACAGACCGTACGATGCGACTCGAGACGCTATTTCCTTCATATTCTATGTAGGAGGTATGTAATTTGCATTGATTTTTCTTTACTAATATTATAAAGAGGAAGAATTTGTATTTTTGTTTGAATCGAAATAACTTTAAAACTACGTAGCCGATTTTAAAAATTATTTTTCCATTAGAAAGGTAATTTATTTGTGAGTAACATAGGCTATATTTTTTTTCACGCGGGCGAAGACGCGCGCAACAGCTAGTGCTTTATAAGTTCGTGTTTATAAGTGTTAATCAACGATATACTGAAATATAGAGTTTGATAGTTTTTTTTTTTAATTTTATAAAACTAGACATCTTACTCTGCCATTCGTGCTGAATGTAGATTTCCCCTATTCTTCCCCTTCACATATTTAATCGATTGATCTTTCTGTATAGATGTTGAGAAGCGTGGACCATCAGACGACACATCGGCAGCAGTGCCGTTGCTGGAGAAGGGTTCAGAGACCGTGGGCTCTTGGAGCGCGGTATACGAAGGTCAGGTGGACTCTCATCTCATGGTAGCTGTCACCCCGGCTGTTGACTGCATAGTCGCCGCGTGGAAGATCGACGTTGACACGAAGCTTGTCACCGGAGAGTCGCTTAGCTACACGCACCCTCAGCCTGTGTATATCCTATTCAATCCTTGGTGTTTGAACGACAGCGTGTATATGCCTGGTAAGTCATAGTAAACTTTGCTGACCATCCAGTGGTGGCTATTTTAACCACCACAATACTGCTAACTCAAGCAGCATAAATACTGAGTGCGGCAGTACGTGACTTTATTATTATGTAAATTTGTGATTATTGTATTGGTCAGTATGTAACAAGAGATTCTATTTATACGCGGTATCTATAAGACCTCTGTTGGACAATTAACCCGAAGTGACTTATGAAATGACTGCGAGCTGAGTTCACCAGTGTGATACGATATTCGATAAACAGTAATCAAAGCAACAAATATGTGAATGGTAGTTTTATGGAACATGCTAAATTATGTGTATCACCTAGAGGAGCAAGTAGGGGGTCTGCTGTAGCAAACCGAAATATGAAAATAGATGTACAAACAAGACCTAGCCTAGATTAACGGCTTGCTATAGAAATGAATAGATTTACTATTCCATTTCTCTATTTACTTGAAGTTGTATGCCAACATTGAAGTCACATAATATTTGATTGTGAATTAATAGAATTTATCTCTCATGTTGTAATATGTTTTAGGTCCAAATCACCGCGAGGAGTACGTCCAAGAAGACGGTGGTCTGATGTACAGAGGTGTGTACAACCGTATCAAGCCCTCGCCCTGGAACTACGCCCAGTATGAAAAGGATATTCTAGACTGCGCCTTATATCTAGTCAGAGAAGTCGGCAAGGTTAGTTGTTTGTCTAAATAATAAAATTCTTGCAAACAATATAAACAGTGAATCACTGCTAAAACAGTTCTTAGGAAACATATCTGACGTTATTTGAGTTTTTTTTTAAAGTATTATCTTTGAGGATTCCACAAAGAAGCTAATGTGACGTAATAAAAGACGTTGTTGCTATTTGCTTTTGCATATATGAGGTCAGGCGATCGAATCCGCGAATTCGAAAATTCTGATAAATTTAGTGCAAGGTAAAATCTATTCAGTAAGATTTGAAATGTCAGAGAATTATCTAAATAGTTCTTGAAAATATTCATATATTACAAGTACAATTATAGAAAATGGTTTTCCCGATAGATTTATATTAACATTTGTACCTTGAAGGCAACTGCATGTAGGAGTATTGAATTCCATTAATGTACATTGTACACAATCGATTTCTACATCTCTAGAGGTTACTCATATCTGAATGTTTGCTCTTTTACCAGGTTATGTTAATTCTGAGTACTAAATAGTACATACTTTCTCATACTTTGTAGTGCAGAGTTTGTTACTATCACACTAAGTTATACTTGAATATTTTTACAATTCGTTATGTTGTCTTACATCGAAGTATAAGGTAACGTTAATGTCATCGTGTGCAAATCAAAAAATTCTTGAATGACTATTGTGACAATTAGTCATCAATGAGTAACCTTACGTCATACACATCCGACATGCTAACTAAATGTTCCTATTTAAATGAAGGTCAAGGGTCGTGCGCGAAGTGATCCGATCAGAACAGTACGTGCTCTCTCAGCGGCGGTCAACGTGCAGGACGACAATGGTGTACTGTTCGGCAACTGGGGCTCAGAGCTTAGCGACTACAACGGCGGCACACATCCCCTCAAGTGGGTCGGCTCATTGTCCATACTACAAAAGTACTATGAGAAAAAGAAACCCATCAAGTACGCGCAATGTTGGGTTTACGCTGGTGTTTTGACAACGAGTAAGTATCTCGTGTTTTAAAGCAATTAATTGATTATGTAGTTAAATAAAAACTGCTATTTACTAAGATAACAATTGCATAAAACGATATGATAAACAGGAAAGGAAAATATGAAAGGAAGAAATAAAAGACAGTAACAAAGAAATAAGAAATATAAAGGGAGAGGGATTAAGAAGATAATAACTTACTTATAATTTTTTTTAGTCTGCAGAGCACTTGGCATTCCCTGCAGACCAGTGACTGGTTACGATGCAGCCCACGACAGTCAAGGCAGTCTCACCATCGACATCATCAAAGACGATGAGGGAAACACTTTAGAAGAATTCACCAGAGACTCCGTTTGGAACTATCACGTCTGGAATGAGGTATCATACTTAAATCTTTTTATACTTCTAAATGGGCTGTAAAAGTCTTCAAACTACTAAAAGTAGTAATAATTCGTATTTTATTGATTTCATTGGAACATCTGGGAAATAAGAATGCTAATAAAATATGAATAAAGCTTTACCATTAGTCAAATTGTGATAAATATGCAAAGCACTTACGAATATGTATGAGATGGTCATTTGACCTCGTAAGGTCACTTGATAGACGAAACACAATATTTATCTAACACAGGTTGTTGCAAAAGCGTCAGATGTGGATTCCAAACATGGTTAGTCAACCTTGAAAGCAGATTTGTCTCGATTAGATAACGGATGTTATGGTGGATGACGTAGGCAAACTTTTTTATGTGCATCTTTGTTAACTTGACATTTTTCTTTTGAGACTGAAGTTGACATACCGAAGTTTAGTATCAACCTGTGTATGTTTTACCAAGGTATGGATGGAGCGACCGGACTTAGGACCGGAGTATAGTGGATGGCAGGCGATAGACTCAACGCCGCAGGAGACCTCGGAGGATATCTACAGACTGGGGCCGGCGTCGCTGCGCGCGGTGCGGGAAGCAGAGTTACAGCGACCCTATGATGTGTCGTACGTCTTCGCACAAGTCAACGCAGATAAGGTACGAATGATTGGTTAGAGTTTATAAAGAAAAGAGAGTTAAGAATAGAAAGTAATAATGGCTAGTAAAAATGGCATGGTTATAGGCAGATAGAGCATATTCAAGCTTCCCGACCAAAAGTTATTCTTAAAAGGTGTACCTGGTTAATGGGAGGACAATATTTCATATTAAATAAATGTATTTTGTAAATGTATTCTTTATATTTCAGGTGTTATGGAAATACTCAGGTGAAATTCAACCGTTGAAGCTAATGGCTCGTGATACGACGTCGATTGGCCAGTACATATCCACCAAAGCTATTGGAACCATGGAACGTGAAGTAAGCAATCATTTATTCTATTTTACCACAGACCTTCTACCAAATCAAGAACTTCTACACAATATTTCTCAAAAGTTACCTTAAGTAAAATTTGCTCTTAAAATCTTTCAGGCGCTTTATGCTTTAATGATCAATCTAACGTTGAATGTTTATCATTCCAGGATATTACGGACACATATAAATATCCTGAACGAACGTGGGAGGAGAGAGAGACAATGGAGAAGGCTCTTCGGAAATCTGAAAGTATCTTCGCGAGATATTACCTTAATGATGCCTTTAATGATGTGGTTTTCGACTTCGAATTGAGAGATAACATCAAAATTGGACAAGATTTTAGTGTCGTAAGTATTTTTAAAGACTTAGTAGTAATTCAAAAAATAAAAAGTGCTATTTTATCAAGTTATTTATTGTATTATAGTGTAAGTAAATAAAAGATTTTCCATATTAAGCAATCAAACATTTAAGTTTATGAAACTTATACATTTTGTCCTAGGAAATATGTCCTAATTTTAAGAATGTGTAAGTTGATCGAAATCCCGATTAAATTCCCTTAAGGTGTTTTGTAATGGTAAAGAATATTGACTCTAGTTTTCAATATATTTCCAGGTGCTGCACATAAACAATCGTTCGCTGGTGAGCCCGCACCAGGTGAAGGGCGTGCTGCGCGTGGACACGGTGACATACACCGGCAGGACAGGGGAGGGAGTCAAGCGGAAAGAGTTTGAGTTCAACTTGACGCCAGAGGCTAAAGAAGTGGTCACATTAATGGTCACTTTTGACGACTACTTTAAGAAGCTTGTCGATCAGGTTAGTGCAGATTTAGCTCAATCATTTCTAAGTAAAATAGTTTGATATTTTAACTATATTATGCTGTATAAAAAGAAAAAAAATGGACTGATTATAAACATAGTAATAAATACCACTGCACCTATTTTGGAAAAAATAGCTTGAAAAATAATTATCGAGAATTGTTTGTTAAAAACATCAGAAATGTAAATTGTATTTATTTTTCTACATAAATCAATTATAGTAATTATCGATTTCAGTTCATATATATTTTAACTGTTCCAGGCATCATTCAATATTGCGTGCTTAGCGACTATAGTCGATAAACAGTTCGATTATTTCGCACAAGACGACTTCAGAGTACGAAATCCTGACATAAAGATTGAGATCGACGGAAAACCGATATCCCATCAAGAGATGAACGTTACCGTTAAGGTCGAGAATCCTCTGCCGATACCGCTGAAGAATGGAAAGTTCTACATACAAGGTCCCGGATTAGATGAACAACTTAAGATTGAACTAAATGAGGTAAATAGAACTTTATATACTTTTAGAAGGATTAAGTCGTATCAGTGTTAAGAGTCCCTTTTGGAGGTTAGTTAATATCTATATTGTATGCTTAAAAGGAAATATTTGCATTTTTGGACTTTTGTATATATTGAAATAACTCAAAAACTACTGGGTCGATTTCAAAAATTTTTTCACCGTTAAAAAGCTAGGTTATCGCCGAGTAAAATAGGCTATTTTAATGAATTTCATGTGAATGAAATCGCGAAAAACAACTAGATTCTAATTGGAAAAAAGGGGACAATCTTATTAGATTTATAGAATTTAATTCGAGAAAATACTCTAAACGACTTCATGAAGCTAGAAGATATTTTATTAGTTACTATATTGAATTAAAGTAACTCTTAGTAATAATTGACCTTGTTAATAGATGTTATTATTATGTGTTTACAGAATGTAGCTCCTGGGGAATTCGCCACAGCTCAGTTCAAACTCACTCCGCCTTGGGGCGGCCGACATCAGATATCTGCCAAGTTCACCTCCAAGGAGATACGAGATATTGACGGCTTCAAAACTTTCATAGTCGCGGCACCGGCCGAACTAAACGGAGTCTCATCAGTGTGAACTGATTTTAAGAAACCAAGATAAGGATTTTTAACTTCAAATTTAACCTAAATTTTGATAACTACAAAACTATTTAACTACGTCGTAGTCTTTGCCTCCAAAAATTAAACAAAAAAATGGGACCCACCTGCAAGCATTACCTTTCGGATTAAAAAAATTATTATCAAAGTCCACTAGCGGCGGAGTTATGCCCTAACACACATAAAAAAACATACAGACGAATTGAATACCTCCTTGTGTTGGGAAGTCGGGTAAAAAATTGACTCGAAACGGTCAAACATGCTTTTTAAAATCAGAATTTAATGTTTATAGGCCGAGTTGTACAGGAATTGGTACATTTTATTATTCCTCTCATTGTACCAAATTTAAAGATAGCGAAATGATAATAATACCAGATAAATGATACGTCAAAGGCCAAAGTTCAAATCCTAAATATGTATCTAGATTAAAAAATCTACTTGAAGTCTAGCAGATGACTTTATAACCAAAATAGTGTTACGCTTGTTGAAATAAATGGTAGAGAAATAAATAGTGAATAAGGATATTGAGTTTTTGAATGTGTACTTTTTTTTCATTATGGGTATATCAGCTAATTCTCATTTTTTAAATTTGAAATGTCTTCTTTTATCGCTTTAGGCACGTCCTACATATTCGCTACTATGAAAAATGTTATAACAGAATATTATTTTGTTTGTTTTCCGAATGTGTGTGGCTGCCTTTAATTATTTCATCTGAACCTTGTAAATAACATGTAGATTTTAAGAAATTATTTATATAAAATGTATGCTTGTCTGTAATGAATCTTCTCTTTGAGTTTATTTAAACCACAAAGCTTTTATAAAATTTGATGTAAAAAGCTATATTTTTCCTATAAAAGTATTATATGTTATGTTTAACTAGTGGTTGTTTCAGTTAATTACCAATCCTTTTTTAAATACGTATTTATTTGAATTAGTATTATTTTATTAAATAAGTGGTGGGACGTCAGGATCGTCAACAAAGTTCTGCGAAGGTTTCTTTTCGTGTACCTTAAATCTTGAATCTACATAGGTTGGATTTGACTTTCTCGTAATTTTAGTAAAGTCAAGAAGTTCATCAGCTGGTCCAATCTCCAGAAATTCCCTTTTACTTTGTCCTGTAGCAGCTGTTAGATTTTCTTCCCGTTCTCGATATATTTCATTTTGTGAATTCAATTTCAACGCCATCTTTGTTTTGACGATACCATTAACTTTGGGCATCGTCACAACTAAGTGGCCAGTTGTTTGTGAACGCTCAGCTACGGAGTTGGTAGTCTCTATTTCCTCCGGTAGATGGAGCTGAAATATTTTCCCTTTGAGAGTAACCCGTACGTAATTCGTTTGGACATCTATATTAAGGAGGCTACTATCTAAGTGTTTGTACACGGCCAAATCTAATATGAATTTATCAGACTCAGCGTCACTGAACAAGAATTTTATTTTCGCTTGATTTATGTTAAAGGGTCGGCCATCGGGTGCAAATAACTTGATAGGCTTTTTTTCTTCCTTCTTTTCTGGTTCCTCACTCTTTAGTTTTAATTGTCGCATATGCTCTATCTCATAGCGTACTTCGGGTGCGTGCTCACATTTTTCGGCCCAAAATTTTTTATTCCTTTCTTCAGGATCCATATCCTTGTATTCGTTTTCCCATTTATTTGTGATATCATTTTCTAGTCTTACTTTTTGCTTTTGACGTTGGCATAGATAATTTTGTTGTTCGAATAAAATATCAGATCTTATAAGTGGAAGATTTTGTAGCGCCATGATGCGGTTCGATCGATCGATTTCAACTCCGTCGAGAGTAGAAAGCTGTGGTAAAGTTCCAATTACAAAGTCACGATAATTGTCGAAGTCAGTACAAGGATTTCCAGTCAAGTATAAATTCTGAAGGTTGTAGTTCCCAACTAATGATTCGATGCTTACAATTTTTCCAATAAAGTTAAGAGTTAAGTCTAATTTAGTTAAAGACTCACATCTATCCAAGTTTTCGATAACTTCGATATTATTTAGCGCTAAATTAAGATATTGTAGGTGTTTGAGTTTGTTCAGGTTTTCTATCTTTGCTATTAAATTGCTTTGCAAGAGAAGTATTTTCAGTTTCGGACACCAATCTTGAATATACTCAATCTTCTCAATGTTTTCTTGATGCAGTGATATCTCTTCTAGAGGAGCCAACAGTCGGTCATGATGTTCCGCCTTCTTACGCACCATTTCTACACTTATTTTAACCATATTATAAAACTTCTTTGTTCACTTTGGTTTGTAAAACGCTATTTGACGTTTATTGACGATAGTGAAAATATTGAAATAACAGTCTCTTAGCAACGACTGTCTGTAATGTAGGTTAAAAATATAAAAGTTTGAAGATATTGTGTTATCTTTTGTTTATGTTGTTTAAAGTGCAATTTGAAGAAAAATTATTGCAGTCAAGTCATATCCTTTTGGAGCGGTTTCAAAGGTTTATGTATTCAGTTATGGAAGAACTATTATTTTGTAAACAGAGGATAGATGTAGAATGGTGTGGGGAGGGGAGGGCAGCGATAGAATCTGTAAGATGTCCGGCTGCGGTTATCTCTCGATCTCGGAGGTCGGTAATCCGTCATTTAACATTCCAGCACAGCAGTGGCAGCGAAGCCGCTCAACTCAACCGTACTAAATTAATATCGCTCTGCCGTAGCGGGTATTAAAATATTTTAAACGACGCCATTTATAATATGACGTTCAGATATCAAGTCGCGAGAGCGCAACATATTTTATTCCACGAAACTGCCAAAAGACAATGAGGATGAAGGATTACTATCATCAACGATTCCTTTTATTGCTATTGTTCGGGTTCGGTTCGCGGGACGGGGAAAAAACTGAGTCGTGGAAAAAACGAGACACGTCGAGATGAAATAAGGCATGACAGAGGGAAAGACGGTGTTATTAGTGAGCGAGGCGAGGCGCCCCGCGGTCTGCGTGTGTTTAGGCCGGTGGGCTCAGCGACGGGGCACTGCGGGGCGCCGCCGCACACACCCGCAGCGCACACTTATTGAAAGCGCCCAATTTAACATTTTGTTGTTTAAACAAACACCCAGCCGTAAGTGGCCTACGAGATTATTGAAAATAAAATTATAATTTATTAACTTGAATTAATATAGTCAAATGAAATCGTGCGATATAATGTGTCCGCATTCTAATGCCGGCTCCGGTATGCGCGTAAAATGTTTCTGTCACACCACAGACATTCTCGTGTTTGATGTGTCATCTCACCAACAGATGGCGCTATATGTTCGGTACATCATTAACTTCAGAGAAAAATGTAAAACAAAAAATTTCATTTGAAAAACACCTTTGCATTTGCTAATCGCTCCAGTAAATCATTTAATCGTTTCCGAATAATTTGATTCGGTAAACATGGATGGCACTAATCGTGACAGAAATCTTTACGATACTTTGGCAATTTTTTTGCGGTCCGCTTGGCCTCTGCCGCCGCCGCCGGCCCTGGGCACGGGCAGAGCGTCCCAGTGGCTGCACGCGAAAGTGTCAGGCCAAGTCAAAACAACCGTCGTCACTCCGACACTATGGTACCGAAAAAAAAAGTTTTCTCGTAAGCAGTTGCTGCGTTCCACTTATTTCTTATCTTGTGTTAAATTGCCGTGCTAATAAGATGTGATTTATCCGTTTTATTCACGTATTTTTATTTCTCAGTAACTTAATACTCCGCAATATCTGAGGGAATATGAAACGAGTTTTTTTCGTTTATTCGCTTTACTTGTGGGAACTGTTGGATCAGTATCGTGCAATTAGCGTGCGGAAATGTGTTAATTTTTAATTATGTGTTGCGGAATGTAGTTTCTTAATATTTAAGAGTTGTGTTTTTGTTTTCTTATTAATAACAATTAACTTTATAACATTACGTAAAGTGCGCATTAATTCTGAGATTTTAAACTGGTTAAGTGAACAAAGTTCATATATTTTCACGCATAACAAGAGTTCTTCCAACCGTTATGTTAAAAAAAATAATAGTTGACAGACGATGATCATTGATCGATTTTCGAAAATCAAAGTTCTAAATTCAAATTCTTTTGAAATTCGAAGTTCGCTTTTCGAATTTTCAACGTTCGATGTTCGTTGTTGCTGAGCGTGAGGTGCAATCTGGTCGCGGCATCGGAGCACGCGTGCAATCAACGATTCGTTTCGGCGGCGCGGAGCACTCTCACGTAAATAATTACCGTCGGAGGTCAAATTACAAGGCGCGCAGGCTCCGTGCTCCGAACCTAGTCATCAGGCGGCCGCCTCACAGCTTCCTCAGCAAACCTACATCTCGAAGACAATTGAACCTCATTGGAATGCTTGTTGTTGAAACTATCTATACTATATCAGAAATTAATATCACGCATATTCGGATTTCAATTTTTACTAAGATTTAAAAAGATCAATATTGTGTCCTGGTGTTAGTTTAAATTGTAAATGTAATTTAGTTGTAAATTGTTGAACTCTGATTGGTACAACGTACGGGAGTACAATAATGAGGTCGATTTATTAGTGAGACCATCATCAACGTCGATGTGATTGTAATTAGCCTGCGCGGGGTAACAGAGGGTTAAGGGGAGGGGGATGCGAGGTCTAAGCGATAAATTATTCACTCGCCGCCGCAGTACTAATTTCGATGCCGACAAATTTTCCACAAGCGCAATTTTAATGCCTTTCAAATAATGTCTGTAGGCGACGCTAAATGATAAATCGTCGAGGGAACGCCCTCGAGACGAGTTTAGTGTAAACGAGCGAGGCTCTCTTTCTTTTGACAACTGTCGGAGGGAGAGAGAGGCGTCTGCTAAAAAAGGAATGTGTTAGATGAGCGCGAGATGGTGTTGAGGTAATAACAGGGCCGGACTCGCCTTTGTGCCGCCGCCGCTGCCGAATATTATCTATCGACTGCAATTTGAATACGATCCAGGCCGCGAAATAGTTTTCAATTTCTCATCAGATCAGGATCGTTAGGCCCCGCGTTGTTTTGCTCAGAGTTATTCGTTTTTAATGAACCCTTACTTATATTTTATTTATTACAATGAAAATAAAGATATTAGTGATATGAAAATGAATATCAGACGCCTAGAAGATAGATTTCCAAGGGACTAAAACAGGAAATTCGTAAGACAAAAAACATTCATTTAGAAAGAATGATTTGAGAGGTTGAATACGACTGATTACTTTAAGATAATTATTATTACAAGTTGTTTTCATTGTTATAACATTAATCATATTTGAAGGTATACACTTTACGTTGTTCAGGAATGCAGCGTTTGTAAGTTAAACAAACAAGTTAATTGTATTTATTCAAATTTGTGCTGCAACCGGGGCCGTTCATGAATAGTCATGTCGGCTCCGTGCGGACTGCATCGTCACTCCAGATTGGGCCTCCGAAAACAACACGTTTTATGCTAATACAGCGCTCTGCCACCCCCCTTTTGTGCTCAACGGATCGGAATTAATGTGTTACCGTTTGCCTTTAGCCGTGCCATTGTATCCATGTTTGTAATGCATATTTACACAGAAAATAAACATTTTTTTAAAATAAGTTTAAAGCTTAAAGGAAAAAGAAATTGAAAACATTAAATATTTTGTACCAATATTTTAGCAATCTTAACCTTTCAATCCGTAAGCAATGTCCCTAATTGGTACAAATCGTCGAAATAGGCGCCTAATAATATGCCATAGGCCTAATTTACATTTCCTATTCCATTCATCTATATGAAAGATATACCTATGTATATTTTAGTTACCTTCATTACATAATAGAAAATCATTTGCAACTAATCTCAATGTTGCGAAAGTCATCTTAATATTGACCGTTTTTCAAATAACAGACTTTTACTAAGCAAGAGACTCTAAGAGCTAAACGGCCACTAAAAATAAAAAAAGACATTTCCACTAATAATTTCTATTACCATAATTTCTCTGCAATATGCTAGTAATTCAACAAGAAATAATATTACCATAATAAGGTATAGTAGGCAAGTAGGAGGCGGGGATCTGTCTATCAATGATAATAGATTGGTATTGTTCGTCGCGTGGGCGTGAGGCTGTGAGGCTATGAGGCTGTGACCAACGACCTCACAAACACGTGTTTGTTTTCGACGGTGTAATGTGACAGCTACCTATTGTTTTTCAATATTCCGCCTTTAATTGAACACTAGTAATATGACTTCGTATAAGTAGACGTGTTTGCAATGAAATTGGTATTAAATTATCAACTCCGTTTTGACTCGACAATACAAAAACATACATACATAGGTGTTTAAAATATTTTTGCCTGACATTTTAAAGCTTAAGGTTTTCCATAGGCTTCGATACTCTTTTGTTTAACAAAATGCACAATACGTGTACACCCTTAAAACAAATAAAACAATCACAACACGGCATTAAAATATGAGCAGCACATGGCCGCAGATTGCGTCGCAAATCTTGTATTGTTGGAGCTCATTACGGGAATGATTTGATAGCGAGAGCCACATAATCCGATCGGTTACAGCTCGCTCGCTGCGATCACAATACGCGGTACGAATGTTTATTTGCACAAGATATTTAGTCACTTCCCCACCGGATTAGCCGCGGACTGAGGGGTGAGTCGAGACTCCAGCTAATGGTAGGGGCGGGCCCCGAGCCCCAATACACATGCAATAATTGTGTGACTTACGAGGGATTAAAGTAATACTAAGTCGAGACGCAGCTTACTATTGTAACTTATTTGGAATTGTTCGTGTCTCAGCCCCAAGATATGTTTAAAACTGTCACGTTTTTCAATTCAAAAAATAATTTATTTTCAACGAATTGTTTTTTTTTTTGGTATCGTTTGAAGTGAAAGAATTGGTTCAGGAAGGAAATGTGTTATAGTCATAATGTACGAATAAAAACTCACATTTTTCATAAGTACGAAGTAAGAATTAGTCATTAGATTGTAGAGAACTTATACAAACAAGTTTAAGAGAATTTCTGTCTCTAAACCTTCGATTCACGTCTATTTTAAAACAATTAAGGCATTTAATAGCAAAATTGAATTTGATACACACTTACAAAGGAATTTTGTCAATGTCTAGACATTGCCATGCCAATATACAAATGTTGACAAATTTCGTGTCTGTACACGACCTTAAGTCCGGAAATGATACAGCTTGTAGAGGACCACGGCACGCCCGCCGTGGTCTGACAAGAGGACCATAAATAAATCCATTTGTTCGACCATACAATGTTCCTAAACAACATTAAGGAACGAATGTTTGAATTGTCACTTTGTCACCATGTCTGGGTGAAAGACTCGCC